CTGAGGTGCCTTACATGAGAGAAATACAACAGCAGCAGCAACAACAACAACAACAACAAACAACTTTATTATTTGTATCCTGCCCACCTGACTTGGTTTCCTCATCCACTGTTGGGTGGCTTCCAACAGATAAGAACACAATAAAACATCAAACATTAAAAACTTCCCTATACAGGGCTGCCATCAGATGTCTTCTAAAAGTTAACCATACAACTTTTGTTTATCTCCTTGACATCTTAAGCTAGCATCAAAATATACATAGATGTCAGCACCAGGCAGGCCTCACTGAGGAGGGATTTCCATAGTTATGGGGCCACTATTGAAAAGGCTTTTTCTTTTGTACCCACTGGTGAAGAGGGCTCTGGTGTCTGTGATATGTTAGTTAGTAACATCACTTTCTGTAATACTTAAAACTCATACCTACAGAAAACAGTATCTAGACTTCTAGGGTTATAGAAATAGATCATTTGTCAGTGGGGCCTTTGTATAATGGATACAACACATTTATATAATGATCTAGAGTCATCTTCAGGGAAACCTGGAAAGAGTATGAAGGGCTTTACCTGGAAGAGGGGGGGAAGTTGTGGGCTGAGTATGCCTGCAGGAGAGAGTGAAGAGAGCTAGAATACCACCGCTCTGACCCTGGAAACGGGCTGCTAGCAGGACTGATGTCTTTCGGAATGTTCATTGACAGCGTTTAGAACGTTCATTGACAGCTAGTTAAACAAAAGAAATACATTGTTTCTACTGTCTCCGGCTGCTTTAAAAAGGAGTAAAAGCAACTGAAAATTGAAACTAATTTGAAACTAATTTTGGATTGTTTAAAAGAGGATACTATTGACTATTACAAATAGAAACTGTTTTCCCCTAGTGGAAGCCTTTGAAACTGGTTGCTTTACAAGAGCTGGACTAGGGGAATTTCCAGCTGCGAGTTAAAAACCGTCAGACTCTGGGACTGACCTTGAATCTTTTAAGTGTTATGGTAAATGGAAGTGGAAGAACAGACCAGTCAACTGTTGACAAAACATTAAGGTCTGGGAGGACTTGGTAACAATCCAGGAGAGGTATATCATTAGCCCCTTCTGTTCTTTCTGTTGTTCTCTTTGTACTAGTATATTTAAAACCAAGAAATGTCGACAGAAGAGGCTTTAGTGGTTGCATTATATAAGATAAATGACTCATTGGATCAGCTTCACAGGAAAATGGACACGATAAATGCGAAAGTGGATGTTTCAATTACTAAAATTAACTTAAATACAGAAAGTATAAATAATACCAATACAGAAACCACCCAGAAATTGATACAATAACCTATTTTGATATGGCAAACTGTGGAGGAAGTCAGGGAAAAAGCTGTTCCTGCTGAAGGTAAAGTAACACAACTGGAGAGAAAGAGAAAGAGAGCCCCAGCCCTACAGAGGCAATTTGATGAACATAAGTTGACGCTTGCTATGACTGAACTTAAAGAAAAACAGACGAATTTGAGGATTAGAGTTCACCTTTGGTGGACATGCCCAAGGATTAAGACACTCTGGTGGGAGATGATTCATAACGAAATGAAAAACGTATTTAAATATACCCTTTTGAAGAAACCAGAGGCCTTTCTCCTGGGTGTGGTCGGCCAATTGGTGTTAAAGAAGGATAGAATTTGTTTCATGTATGCAACAATAGCAGCAAGAATACTCATTGTGAAGTACTGGAAGACACAAGATTTATCTATTCGGGAAGAATGGCAGATGAAGTTGATGGACTATATGGAATTGGCAGAAACGACTAGCAGAAATCTGAGACCAGGGAGAAGAGCTGGTGGAAGAAGACTGGAAAAAGTTTAAGACTATTTATAGAAACACTGTAAAAATAATGAATGTTAGAAAAATGTTGGAATGAAGTTATATGGCTTTAGTAGAAATGCTATAAGGAATCAAGTATAAATAGATTAATAGAGTATTAAGGGAAAAATAAGGTTAGAATATGTTAAGATAATTATAGGATAGAAAACAGAGGAAGATGGAAAGGAATTGCTGAAACAATTAACAGAAGTGGAATACAAAAAGGGAGGTGTGAGGAGGTCGTGGAAACAAGGGAATGAAAGTTAAGATAATGAAATTGTTTTGTGTTTTAAATGGTTTGTGTCTTGTTTTGTTAGTCTTATGTTTTCTTTTTCTCTTTTTTTCCCTTTGTTTTTCTGTTTTGTTGTGTTTAAACGGTTGGAAAATTAATAAATATTTAAAAAAAAAAATGAAGGGCTTTACCTGGTTGTATATGTAATTTTCCCCCCATGTACAAATGTTTGAAAGCTTAGGTCTGAGATTATTAACCAGCTCATGTAGAAGTAGTAAGCATTATTATAGCTGTGATGTGAATTTTAAAGGAAAAGGGAGATAAACAAGCCTGCTTTAGTGGAGGTAAATTGGGAGGACAAGCTGAAAAATTTAAATCTATACTACCAATAAACCAGATGGCTCAGAGGGGAATTTAATTGCTATACATAAAATCTAATATGCTACAAACACAGTCAAGCTAGCTTGGTATTTTCTACCTAATAGGAACACTGAAGTAAGAGAGAATGTTGGAAATTTAAATGCAAAAAAGATTCTGAGGCACCGGAAAGCAATTTTTTCCCTTACTGAAAAAAATTAATAATAAAAATATACAAGGCAAGTGTAGAGACAGAAAGCATGGCAGCCTACCAGAAAAAATCTAATGGCATCCTGCATAAAGGTGGGATAAAGAAGCACTTTTCCATTTGCTGAATGATTTTTTGTTGAATTCAAGTTTTCTACACCGCTATGCTCCTTTATACTGTATGTGCTGATATGAGCTGGTTCTGCTAGGTTTATTCCTGAAGGCCTTATTTATGAAAAGCAATTATTCTTGTGCTTAGCTTTAAGCACATTCTTAAATGCTCTCCTGAACAGGGATGGTAGGTAGAATTTTAAAAGCATCTAAGTCATTTATGAGTGCAAGTCCCATTAACTTTCAATGCATTATCAACTCTTAAATGTGTTAAATGCTTTTGGAAAATCTCCATTCTTTACTTACAAGGAGGTCTTAGGGAAGAGTTTTCAAAATCATCCTCAAAATTATCTAATCCAAAGTAGACACATTGACTTAGGTGGCCTTTTGCTCAATATCCATAAAAGCCTTATATTGTGATCCACAGTCAACTCAGTGATGTTAGTGGAACAGAGAATGTGATTTCAATATTACACAGAAGCAAAGATTTCAAAAGTTGGTTCATTTGCACTTCTTAATTCCTCATTTCTAATGGAACATGCCTGGAAACCCATGAATTAAGTGGTTTTAACCACGACTCTAGATTATTTACATGGCTTATGGACTGCATTCTTAAACAAGTAAGGTCTATTCTTATAAGGGCAAGAATAGATTGTTTAACAGTGTTGCTTATAACTCCTATAACTTATTAACACGGGACACATGATTGCCACTGGAGTTAAGACACCAAAGGATATACACCCTTCAGAAGTCCCTTTGGGAGTACTGAGGGTGATGGCAGTACTCCCTTCAGTTTTGATTCCAGCTCAGAAGAAGTTGGATAGAAGGGAAGAATGATAGCATATGGTTTCCTGCACAGGGTGAGAGCCTGTATGGTGAACTGTATGATAGGAGAAGCTTATCAGCTGGCTTCAGAGTGAGAAACTGTAATTAGTGGAAGACACTCCCATCCTGGGTGTTCTCTAGACTGACAGGACAGGGTGGGTTCTATGTGCTTTTAATATAGCCAACCAAAATCTCCATCCAGATGAGGTCACATCTGAACCATCAGTCCAATCTGGTAGAAGATTCCCTACTCAACAGAGGCTACCTGCACCCCCAATAACACTGATCTAGGAGTACTTCCAAGCTGTACATTTGCCTTCAGGGGGAGTGTGATGTCAAGCAGAACAGGTTGCACCTCAACCATATGGTATGGGGAGCCACCTACTAAAAGTGTCTCTGTCCTGTCTAGGGCGAGCTTCAGTTACTTGGCTCTCATCCAGTCCATTACCAAGATCAGGCACCAATTCAGTGCACCCACTGCCACATCTGCTTGCAATGTAGCTGAAGTATTTATGTTCTGATTAGGCCCTCAACCTGTTCCTACAGGGGGAATGAGGGTGATATGCTACAGCTAAGAATCATCCTTCACAGGGAATATATAAAGGCTATTCATAAATTCTATTCATTTCAAAATCTCTTCAAGCATAGTATTTGGCCCATCTGCATACATGTTTGCAAAGTCACTAATTATTTTTATTGTTTGTTTGTTTGTTTATACCCCACCTATTTTCCTAACAGGGACTCAAGGCGGTTTACAGATTAAAATAAGACCCACTAAAAACATAGAAAAAAAATTCATTGAAAACAATTAAACAGAGAGAGACACCGGCCCTTTCATTAAAAGCAGTCAATTCCCAAAAGCCTTTTGGAACAAGAAAGACTTCATCTTCCGGCAGAAGGACACTGAGGACAACAGTCTTGGTATTAAAATTAGAAAAGGTTCTGCAGCAAAGGCTTTGTCTATAAGAAGACTTGTGAAGCAATTACTTTTTTTCCTAGAGAATTACTAAGTACTTAACTATGAATGCAGTAGATGAGAAATAATACAATTCGGGTTTGATGGTGTGTCTCATGAAACATCATTTTAGAGATCAGTAACATTGACTTAGATTTCAAAAACCGCATCTATGTGGACTGAAAGACTTCTAAATTGATAGTAAACAAAAGCAATCATACATTATAATGATCCTTAATGGCTCCAAATTATTCCCTTCCATCCAAAGTTTGAATGATAAAGATTAGCTTTTTCTCGGTGTATTTGAATAAATAATAACAATATAACAAGCAATCATTATTTTAACAAAGATATCCATGATTCACCAGCTTATTCCATGGTGACATTGCGTCCATCATTTTATCATTTTAGCCGTTATCTCTGTGAATCTGTCAAATCTACAAAACCCGACCTGGTTTAATAAACACTAAAAACAGACAAATACAGGACTTCCGAGGGGCGGCGCGAACGGCAATGGCGGTCCTCTTCTGAACGGGAGAGGAGGCTCCGCAGAAAACGGGTCGTCCGCTACGGCGAAGCGGAGACCCACTCCGGAAAACCCCAGGCAGCAAGAGCTTGGGGTCCTGAGGCTCGGTGGGCGCCTTAAGTGACCCTCCAAACGCAGAAGGAACCTCGTAAGGGGCTCCGGAGCGTGGAGGGGGGTTGCGGCGCTGAGAGCTGCTTCACAGTCTGCGGAGTGAAGCCGCGCTGCTGCTGCCGGTGAGCGCTGATCCTTTTTCCTGCTAAAACACGGATTCGGACGAAAAGCAACTTACTCGTGAGTAAAGACTGAATCACTTGAAATCAGAGACTTTATATGAAAAACCTTAAATTGGCTTGAACTTGGCTGAAAGCGGAGAGACGTGGAAACAGGAAGTCCGTCTTCCGCAGCCATTGAACTTGAAAAAAGCAACTAAGTTGGAGGAGTGGAGGCTGAAAGGAAGAGATTTTAAACTTTACAGATCTAAGCATCTACTGAACCTGCAATTTAAAGTAAAGACTTTAAGCTAAAGACTTGGAATTTTAACTTGCACTTGACTTTCCCCCTTTATTGGATTACAAATTAGAAGGTGAAACCCAGAGTCAGGAGCTGCCTGAGCATTGAGAAATTGAGCTGTCAGTATTGCAGATTTGGATACTGTATATTGGAACTTGCAACAATCTGAGGGTATTGAGACTTTTTAAATTTGAAACATTCTTTTTGGAGATAAATAAGCACTGTCTGTAACAAAGTGACTACTTATAAACTCTGCTAAATATTTATATTTGAAGGTTCTTGGACATTAATAGACTCTGAAAGACATTTTAAGCTCCCTCTAGAGGACTGGATGAAAACAGTGACTTTATATTTACATTTACTTTCGATTCCCTTGTTGTTTACTTGCTCTGGGCCTTTCTATTCCCATGGGAAAAACTCAGTGTGACCTTGACTGATAGACAACGTTGGAATGAGTGGCACAAGGAAAAGAGGGAGAGTTAGACAAACAACTTTAACAACTCTAACCTCAGCCTCGCAGACACGTAGATCATCTGTACCTACTTTGCCCTCAGAAGTAGAACTTGAAGAAGTTGCCTTGCCACAGGCAAAAGAGGGAGAGGGTGAAGCAGAGCAGTTACAATTGGAAGATATGGCCTCAGGAGTATCTGTTTCTGTTCTAGACAAAATCTTTGAAAAATTGGAAGCTTTGGACAAGAAAGTAGATGCGCAATCAGCAAAGATTGACAAAAATACAGAATGTCTAAATAAATTAACCATACAAGTTGTACAGAATACACAAGCAATTGGACAGTTAACGGAGGCCTCAGCAGAAAATCGGAAATTGGCTGAGGATACCAGACAAAAATTGGAAAATTTAGAGCAAGAGGTAAGGCCACTCACCAAACAAGTTGGGGAACATCAGACTTATCTTTCCATGATAGAACTGCGAAATCGTGAGAATAATTTGAGGATTAGATCATTACAAGAGGCAGAAGAAGGAAATTTAACTGAGTTTTTGACCAAAGAATTTTCCAAGTTCTGGAATTTGGAAGAAAAGGATTTTAAAATTGTGTCGGCTTTCAGACTTGGAAGATTCACAAAGAAGGAGAGGCCCAGAGACTGTTTGATTACATTGAGATCAAAGGAGGAAAGGGATAAGATTCTGGGCCTACATTACGGAAAGTCACTGGAGGTTTTGGACAGAAGAATTGAAATTTATAAAGATATCCCAAGACAACTGCTGGATCTTAGAGCCGCCTATTCTGAACTTGCTAAACTACTAAGGAGCAACGCAATTCCATTCAGGTGGGAATTTCCACAAGGAATATCTTTTACCTTTAAAGGGAGAAAGGTCAAAGTTAGAACATTGGAAGAGAGAGACAAATTTTTGGCTACATACGGAGAGGACCTTCAAAAAGGAATTGAATTACCCCTTGGGCCTGGGGCAAAGCCAGTATCAACACCAGCACCTGGGGAACTTGAAGATCCAGAGAAGACACCACCCCTGGAGAAATAACCAGATAGATCCAGGATGTCTCTGCAATTGCTGAGTTGGAATATTAATGGTTGTAATATTCCGGAAAAAAGGAAGAAAATATTTCCTATATTAAAAATAGAACAATTGGACATTATCTGTTTACAAGAAACACATGTGACGAGGCTCCACAGAAAAGTGTTAATAAATAAAAGATTGGGCCAGGAATTTGTTTCGTCGGACAAAGTTAAGAAGAGAGGCGTGGTGATATATGCAAAAGAGAGCCTGTCACCTAAATTCTTATTTAAAGATGAACATGGAAGAATTTTGGCCATTGAGATACAATATCAAGGAGAGAAACTGTTGATATTAGGAATCTATGCACCTAACGAAGGGAAATCGGAATTTTACAAGAAGCTGCAGGGGACAATGCTGGAATATCTGGATTACAACAACATCATAATGATGGGAGACATGAACGGGGTCGTGTCAACTAACATGGACAAGTCACAAAGTCAAAATGTTACAAAAGACGGCAGACTACCTAAAACTTTTTTGAAATGACTGACAATATGGATTTGATTGACATTTGGAGGACAAAGAACCCACTAGGTAGAGAAGGAACATTCTTTTCTGAAGCCCAACTGACCTGGACAAGAATCGACCAAATATGGATTTCCAGAGGCCTGGCACCTAAGGTCAGAAAAGTGGAAATCTGCCCAAAGACCTGCTCTGACCATAATGCAGTAAAGATGGATATGACACTACTACCAACTGGATCCTTTAGATGGAAGATGAATGACAATTTGTTTAGAGATCAGGAAATTACCAAGAAGGCCCAAAAAGTTTTGAAGGACTATTTTGAGATAAACATGAACAATTCGGTGGAAAAAGAATTGTCTGGGACGCAAGCAAAGCTGTAATGAGGGGATTCTTGATACAACAGAATGTAGTAAAGAAAAGAACACAAAATGAGAAAAAAGATAAGATCTTGGACAAATTAAAAGAATTAGAGAAGAAATTAAGAGCGAATCCAAAGTCACAGCCAACTCTGAGAGAAATTAAACTCTATCAAACACAATATTCTAAATTGATAAATCAGGAAATTGAATGGAAGGTTAAATTAATGAAACAAAAACGTTTGAGTCGGCGAATAAATGTGGAAAACTGCTAGCTTGGCAGTTGAAGAGAAGACAAAGATTAAACACGGTTACAAACTTAGAGGTTGATGGAAAAAACATTCAGAATCCAGTGGATATTAGAAAGTGTTTCCAGAGATATTTTAAAAATTATACACCCAAGGGCCGCAAGACGAAGTTGAGATTAAACAATTTTTGCCAAAAATGGACTATCTAAATTGTCTCAAGAAAACAGGACAATCCTGAACTCTAAAATAACACGACAGGAGATTGAACAAGCTATTCAGAACATGCAACTTGGCAAATCTCCAGGGCCAGATGGGCTGACCTCCAAGTATTACAAGACATTAAAAGACTATTTGATACAACCTTTGATGGAGGTCAGCAATGAAATTATTGAGGGGAAGAGGGCACCGGATTCGTGGAAGGAAGCGTTCATCACATTAATACCAAAGTCAGAAGCTGAAAAGACACAATTGAAGAACTACCGTCCCATCTCTCTTTTAAATGTGGATTACAAAATATTTGCAGACATTTTGGCAAGTAGATTTAAAAAGTATTAAATGAAGTAATTCATAAGGACCAGGCCGGTTTTCTCCCAGGCAGACATCTGTTTGCTAACACAAGGAACATTATTGACATCTTGGAACTTCTGCAAACAGATATAAATACAAAAGCAGTTTTAATTTTCATAGATGCGGAGAAGGCCTTTGACAATATTTCTTGGAAATTTATGATGGGAAATTTAAAAGAGATGGGAGTGGGACGGGGTTTTGAGAATGGGATTGAGGCGATATATTCAGAACAGAAAGCTAAACTGATAGTTAATAATGTGGTTACAGAAGAGTTCAAAATTGAAAAAGGGACACGACAAGGTTGCCCTATTTCCCCTTTGCTATTTATTTCGGTTCTGGAAGTGCTACTGAACATGATTAGAGGGGATCGGTTGGTTGAAGGAATTCAGGTTGGTCAGAAACAATATAAACTAAAAGCTTTTGCAGATGACCTGGTTTTGACCTTGCAGAAGCCAGAGCCCAGTACGAAAAGAGTATTACAATTGATTAATGATTTTGGTCGGGTGGCGGGATTTAAATTAAATAAACAGAAAACTAAGGTTTTGGGGAAAAATTTGACTGATACAGAGTCAGAACGGTTTCAGAATGAGACGGAACTTAATGTGGTTAAAAAGTAAAATACCTAGGGGTAAACATAACAGCAAAAAATCTAAGTCTATTTAAGGATAACTATGAAAAATGTTGGACAGAAATTAAGAGAGACTTAGACAGTTGGTCAAAATTGAAACTTTCTTTGTTAGGCCGAATTGCTGCTATTAAGATGAATGTATTGCCAAGGATGTTGTTTTTATTTCAAACACTTCAGGTTTTGGACAAAACGGAGTGCTTTCAGAAGTGGCAGAGAGATATTTCCAAGTTTGTCTGGCAGGGCAAAAGCCCAGAATCAAGTTTAAGATATTAACTGATGCAAAACAAAGAGGGGCTTTGCCCTGCCGGACTTAAAGTTGTATTATGAAGCCGCAGCGTTCTGCTGGCTAAAAGACTGGCTACTTCTTGAAGACACTGATGTGTTGGATTTGGAAGGGTTTAATAATGTTTTTGGATGGCATGCATATTTATGGTATGACAAAGTTAAAGCAAATAAGGCCTTCAAGAACCATATTGTCAGAAAATCATTGTTTAATGTCTGGACAAAATATAAAGACTTGCTGGAAAATAAAACACCAAGGTGGCTTTCACCTTTGGAAGCTAAGGCCCGAAAAAGACCCAATATGGAGGCTAAATGGCCAAAATATTGGGAAATACTAGAAAAAGATGGAGACAATTGGAAACTGCAGAGTTTGGAGAAAATGAAAGACAAAGTGCGAGATTGGTTACATTACGCTCAGATTAAAGAAGTTTTTAAAAATGATAAGAAACTAGGGTTCCAGGTGGAGAAATCGAAATTAGAAACAGAATTGTTAGAACCAAAGACTAAGGTACTTTCAAGGATGTATAACTTGCTGTTGGAATGGAATACACAAGATGAAATGGTTAAATCGGCTATGATAAGGTGGGCACAGGACATTGGGTATAATATTATGTTTGAGGACTGGGAAAAGTTGTGGAGTAATGGATTGAAATTTACTGCATGTAACGCTCTGAAAGAAAATGTAATGAAAATGATTTATAGATGGTATATGACCCCAGTTAAACTTGCAAAAATTTACCACCTGTCTGATAATAAGTGTTGGAAATGTAAAGAGTGTGAGGGAACGTTCTTCCACCTCTGGTGGACCTGCCCTAAAGTGAAGGCGTTCTGGGAAATGATTTATAATGAATTGAAAAAGGTATTTAAATATACCTTTACCAAGAAACCAGAGGCTTTCCTTCTGGGTATTGTCAGCCAAGGGGTGGCAAAGAAGGACCAGACATTTTTATGTATGCAACAACAGCAGCAAGGATACTTCTTGCAAAACATTGGAAAACTCAAGATTTACCCACACTGGAAGAATGGCAGATGCAACTGATAGACTACATGGAACTGGCTGAAATGACTGGCAGAATCCGTGACCTGGGAGAAGAGAGAATCGAGGAGGATTGGAAGAAATTTAAGAACTATCTACAAAAATATTGTGATTTGAGTGAATGCTAAATAAGATGCTAGACTAAATAACTGAGCACCACTTAACTTAGAAGTTTTTAAGAAAACAAGTAAGACTGTGAAAGTTTAACTCTTTATGAGAACCATAAGATTATGAAACATTGAAGAGATATAAGAATTTAAATAAGATGATAAATTGCTGACAAAATGTTATAACGATGAAAGTGGGAGCGGGGGATGTGAGGAAGTCCAAAGAAAATGTGAAACTATGTTAAGACAAATGTTATATTGTTCATTATGTTTATTATTATTGTAAAACCCAATAAATTGCTTTAAAAAAAAAAAATAAAAACAGACAAATACAGATCACTGGTGCAGTGTGCTCGTGACTGTGCGGTAAGCATCAATAGTGATGTTTCTGTGGCATATGATGTCCTCGGAGAAGTACTGGGGCACAGAATAGAAAGGCATTGCACTCTGTTTTCTCGCATTCCTGATGTGGAGCGGATTTGTTTATTTGCAAAACTTTCCATACCCCTTGTTAGGTCCAAATCAAAAGTTCTTGCTTGCTTGCTTGCTTCTGGATTATCTAGTGGTACTTCTGCATGCAAGGATTTTTATTGAATTGTTTTCCTATGAGAGTTGGGCGGCTCTCATAGGCAGTCCTCTCTCCTTCTCTCCACTCTTTGGGGGGAAATCTCCAGGAGGAAGATGTTCCATGTATTCCCAGAACCATTGCCATGCAATCGGAGTGCCATTTACTCAGGGCTCTGGATCACGTCCATCCCCTGTCATTACGCTGGAAGGAAAATGTAGCCTTCTGTTACTCTTCATTCTCTCTCTCTAAACATTTTTGGCTTCCATTCATCTGGACTGGAGTCCAGTTCTACCATTACATTCAACTTGTGCTGGTTTTAAGCATATTTGCCTAAATAGTTTGTGCAAATAAAACTCTGCTTATAGAGGGATCTGAAAATCAGTAACATTTCAAACAGCTGGACTCTCAAATCCTATACCATTTCCCTCTGAAATATAAAAGCACAAAATTGGTGGCATTGAGAAATGGAAGAAAGGCTGCTGATAACTGGAACTGTTACTCAGTGAAGCGTTGGGATGATCACACAACCAGGAACTGCTGCTCCAAAAGTTTTGGCAGAGCAAAGTATGGATCCATAAATTAGCTCCCAAATAGTATATAGTACAAAACTGGTAAGCAAGTTCTATAAAGAAAATCTATAACAGTCTAAGAGACAAATTGTCTTGGACTGAAATCCTAAACGCAATTACTCAGGAGTATGCCTCATGGAATGCCATGGCAGTTACTTCCAAGTAAACACATCTATGCTTGCAGTCACTTTCAGTATCCTGAAGTATTATATTGGACCAAGGTCCAAGACTATATATAGTGTTATTTTGCCTTTGGGTTGGCCAATTGAGATCAGGTGGATATCTAGTTATTTAAGTTTAAGGCTAATAAATTTAAACCAAAACCAACTATGGATACAATTTTTGATCATTATTTATTGCCTTTATATCTCACCTTTCCTCCAGGAAGCTCAAGATGGTATGTTGTCAACTGAGCCTCCTGATAAGACATTTCGAAGTCAATGCACCACAACTGAAAACAAACCATCTAGAGACTTCCGGGTTAGAGCCTCCGGCAATGGCGGATTTCCTCTGACCAGGAGGAATCCGCTTCGTGAGCATTAGGGTCTGGACCACCGTGGCGAGGTGGAGACCCATTAAAAACCACAGGCGGGAGAAGCCTGTGGACGTGGGATTCGGCTGGCACCTTTTGCGCCTCCCCTACTCGTGGGGAAACCTGGTTTCGGGGATCCGGAGCGACGTGGGGTGAATGGCGCGGTGCTTTGAATCGACTGCTTTTTTCACGGAGTGAAGCCGCATTGCTGTTGCCGGAGAGCACTGACTTTTTCCTGTGGACAATTGGATTTTAAACAACTACTCGTGAGTAAATCGGAAAATTGGATTTTTAAATACTTTAATTCGGCACTGAAGCGGGAGGTCATAAACAGGAAGTCCGCCTTCCATTTTTGTAAATAGACTGAAGCAAAGACGTTACTAGTTAAAGTCTTTGAAAGCTTTTGGCAAAGGATTAAATTTCCATCGGTTTAAAATACAAAACCCCCCTTGGAAGCAGGAGAAGAGGGGGAAATCTTGGATCTAGTGAGCCTGCAGGAGAGAGTGAAAAATCAAATTACCACTGCTCTGAACCTGGGAACGGGCTGCCAGATGACGTTTGGAGAGAGTGCATTTGACAGAACGGATTTGACAGCTAGCTAAATAAGAGTAAGATACTGTTTCCATTGTCCTTCTCTGCGTTTAAAAAGAGGAAAAGTAACTGAAATTTTATCTTTAATGTTTGAGTTGTGCTTGAAAGAACTGATACAAGTGGAGACTGTTTCCTCTAGAGGGAGCTTTTGAAACTGTAACAGGACTGTAACTGGGGGATTTCCAGCTGCAGATAAGGATTCTGAGAACCAGAGAACGACCTTGGACCATTTAAAAATGTTGACAGGAGAGGCCATTGTGACTGTTTTATGTAAGATAAGCTGTTCGCTGGGACAGCTTCACAAGAAGATGGATGACATGACTTTTAAAGTTGACAATTTGGAACAGAAAGTGACTAATTTGAGTCAAAAAGCGAACATCAACACAGAAATAATTCAGGACTTGGTACAGGAATCCATTTTGGCAGGACAAATGGTGGAGGAGAAGGAGGAGAAGGAGAATGCTGCTGTTGTTGAACATAAAGTTGAACATAAAGTAGTACAAGTGAGATCCGTGGCTTTACAGAAGCAAATTGAGGACTATAAGTTGAGGCCTTTTATGATTGAATCTAGGAAAAGTCAGACTCTGAGGAATGGACCCCGGCTTGGACGAAAGAAGGAAAGTTGGAAAGATCCCTCTATGCAGGGATTAACTGACTTTTGGGACATGGACTCGGGCCTGGAGGAGATTGAAGTTTTGGGGGCCTTTGGACTTGGAGGAATCTTGAAATATGCCCTGAAATATTTTATGGACTGTAGCTTTAACTATGGAAATTTGGCTGATCTGTTCAGAAGGAAGAAAAGGATTGACAGGTTGGAGTTTCCCCGAGATTTGCTCTTTAGCATTAAAGAAAATGAAGAAGACCTGCAGAAGGGACTTGGAAAAGAGTTAAGAGCCTTGGACATAAGATCATCAGTTTGATGGACTTTATGGAGTTGACGGAAAGGACTGGCAGAATCTGAAACCAGGGAGAGGAGATGGTGGAAGAAGATTGGAAAATTTAAAGTTTATATATAGACTTATGGTAAAACTAATGAGTGATAGAAAAATGGTGGAATGATTTTTTATGGGCTTAGCAGAAATGTTATAAGGAGTTAAGTATATATATTTTAGTTTTAATGGAAAATAAGGTTTAAAAATATGTTATTTACAATATGATAGAAAATGGAGAAAGATGGAAAGGATTTGCTGAAACAATTAAAAGAAGTGGAATACAAAAAGGGAGGTGAGAGGAGGTCGAGGAAACAAGGGA